ATATATATATATATATATATATATATATATATATATACACATGTGTATATATGCTGCCACCACCGTTCCGTGAAGGCGTATAGTCACAAGGCGCGAATAATGTTAGTGAAGACATTAGACTTGCTCGAGGAACGAAGCGGCAACGAGAGTGTCGGTCGCGTCGCGTGTTCTCGCCCGGGAATTGCTTCAATCGCTTTCGACGACGAGAATGGCAATAGCGACGATGATAAGAATCCGGGGCGATGTCGTGTTGGTAAACGCGAGGCGGAGGCCTCGCGGCAATTACCGCGGGAGAGGATCTTTCAGAGACGACTCGCGATACGGACTCTCGTTCACCCTTCGCGTTCGTCGAGTCGCACTGTGTGCACCCGATCGATCGAAAGTGCTGTAATGCATAGTCCAACAATATTGTGCCTGGCCTTATACTTGCACGTCGCGAAAAGCCATCCGGGCGTACGCGCTATCAGAGGGATGATGCATTTCGCGTGTGCGCGCAGGGCCCGCCGGGTAAACGCGGCAGAAAGGGTGACAAGGGCAACAAAGGAGACCAGGGTGTTCCAGGACTGGACGCGCCGTGTCCGCTGGGGCCAGACGGACTTCCCCTACCAGGCTGCGGCTGGAGACCACCGCAGGTAACCGATAGCGCATTTATGTTCGGAGTTTCCGCAGGGGAGGGAATCGGGAAAATATTCAAGTTACGGCGTGCGCATGCATATTGCATCGAGACGAGCTGGGCAAAAAAGTGTAAAGGGGTTTCGCGCCGCAAAGGAGTCCTTTTGATGCGCACAGATTTCGGATTGTAATAGCGGTTGATCGACGCTCGTTGGATAATGCCGTAATTGAGCGCCAAGTTTTCAATGAAAGTTCAAATTTAGATTTAAGTTCCGTTCAAACGCGTTAATTGAAGCAGAGTTTATAAACTTACATCGAGAAAAAATACTTGAAAATTTACTTGTTGGATATAAAGTTTTTTATAAAGTATTTTTATTAAAGTATTTTTTCTCAATGTGCATATGGGGAGAATTTTATAATAAAAATTACTGTAAAATTTCGTGGATCAAGGAATAGATTCTACAGTGACTAGCCTTTCATTTCATATGCGCTGCTTACGTTTCAGTACAATTGAAGTGTTAAAACATTACTATATATTTCTGAAGAAATTTACTATGTTCCTTACACTGAGAAACAAATATTTGAAAATTTATTTGTGAAATATGAGGTTTATTTCTGTGAAATAAACTATTTCTACAAATAAACTCTATATTTTACAAATAAATTTTCAAATCCATTTTTCCTGAGTATACCAAGATAGATTTTAGTCCACTCTTGCACTGTTGGAAATATAATAAAATTGAAAAGAATTAATATGAAAAGAAAGATATAACATTCTTTCCGAGCAGATCTCCTTTGCAAGTTATCGCCAGATTCTTGAATGCAAATAATGCGACATTGCGCGATGTATTGAACGGGATGAAAGGGAATAGTAGCTGGGGCACGCTTGGATTCTCGTGTGTGCTTAGCAGGACATCACGAGCACATCCTCGCCGGCGATTGAGGGTCCCGAGCCCGCGGAGACGGATTACGAGGAGCCGGAGGAGGAGTACGACGACTATGCGGACCAGAACGGGAATCTAGCCGAGCAATAATGCTCGTTTTTGTGCGCTGCCCTAATCACTACCGACAACTACCACCACATCACCACCACTACCACCACCACCACCACCACCACCATCACCACTACCGCCACCCTCATCACTCGTCTCACCCCGCTCTCCCAAACTAACGTGGTCCCGGTAATTGCAATATCCTGTGTAGTATAATACTAACTAACTAATCGATTGCATGCCATCGAGGATCAATCTTGCATCGAGTCCCGCTTACTGGCTTGTTTGCTACTTCTCTATGTGAAAGCACAAGATGAAAATCTTTTTTCTAGCAAAGACCTGTCTCTCTATATTTTTACTACACACAGAAAATTGCATACTGTATTCGAGTAAATATTACTTTTCTCAATTATTTCTTAAATTCATACATCTACAAATCCACCGTAAGCTCATCGGAAGCACTAAATTTATTTTGTAAAAATTCGAAATCCTAGACATTATAATCAAGAATATTAAATTAAAACAAAAAGTTCGATTTGCTTACTACATAGAATTTAATCAAAATTTTCGATAAAGTTTCGATAAAATTTTATAATATCCCTGTAAAGAAAATTCTTTAAAGTACATGATAATGAGCTCCTCTAAAATTTACGATGAATATATTTTAAGACTATTATCAAGAAAATATTCTTTGTTGGAGATAATCGTTACTTTTTTTTTTAATCTTGGAACTTTAAACATTAAAAAGTTACGTAAACCTTAAACATGAATAAGTTTTATTCAGCGCATTTTCATTTACTTATAATTTCTATAAAAATAATAATTTAACTTTTTTTTTAATTAGTGTAGAAAACATTGAAGAATATGAATATATATTAGTGTTTTTGCGATTCGATGAAGTCGAAAAAGATTACAATGAAAAAACAAAACGCATGTTTTTAAGAACGGTAACATTCAGAAAGTTGGTCTGGGTAAATATTTTATCCACGTTTATAAGGTTCTAGGATTAAATAAAGAAAGGTAAATTGAGTATATTGAGAACAAAATACTTGAAATTTTATTTGTGAGATATAAAAGTAACTTCTGCGAAATTTATTTCCGTGAAATGAAGCTTATCTTTGTAAACAAATTTTACCGCAAATAAATTTTCTAGTATTTACTTCTCACAAGTAAATCTGCTCAAAAGGTAAACTCCGATTTTTTTCTAATTTGGCACAAATATAGAAGTACAAAAAAGATTTAGGTAATATTTTTTCATTTTGGTCCACACTTTGAGTTTCACGGGCAGTTTATAGATTTTTAATGTTTTCATTCCTATCATCAACAAGTACAACAAAAATGCATAAGAAATAAAATTGAATACAAGATATAGTTAAATAGTTTTAACAAAATCGGCATAGCTGAGACACGAACCATTCTAAATTTCTTTAGCTGAGATTCCAACCAAAATATTTTAAATCTGTGCTAAATTAATAAAAAATTGTTCGAATTTCGGCCAAATCGAAAAATTATTTATATAAATAATTTTTTCAACTTTTTACATTTTTTGTTTAAACATTTTATTTTTTATACAAATAATTTTACTTGACTTCATATTCATAATCAGCAAACCAAAAACGCCTATATCTTGTATTCAATTTTATTTCTTATGCATTTTTTGTTGTACTTGTTGATGATAGGAGTGAGAACATAAAAAACTGCCCGTGAAACTCAAAGTGAGCCAAAATGAAAAAATATGATCTAAATATTTTTTATACTTCTACATTTGTGCCAAATTAGAAAGATATCGTAGTGTAACTTTTGGGTAGGTTTACTTGTATAAATCTACTTCAGTGTAATCGCGTTTTTTAACAGCAGAATGATAATTTTTGTGTGTAGCCGCAAATCTGCTTGCAATAATTGTACGTATTTGTACAGTTCTATGTCGAATCTACCTTGATACTTCGTTTCGTTTTAGTCGATTCTAAACTCATCTTTTATATTTCTTCAATTTCTTGAAGTGAAGTTTCACTTAAAAGGTAGAGTGACCACCGAGTCACTCGAATTTAAGCAGCTTTTTCACTCTGTGAGTCGTCAAGTACATATTTACATTCAACATTGAAAAGCGTACTCCATTACAGGAACGTATTAGCTCGATTGAAATTCACCCATGTGGAGTCAATATCTAAAATCTAAGTCGGGCTCTAGTCTAAGCTAGAGTGAAACATCCACTCTTGCTTTGACTTTGAGTGCAGTTTGAGTTTTCACTTTAGTTAAAAATACTGCTTCTTTTCACTAGTTTTGAGTGAGATTCCGCCCCAAGAAATTCAGAGAGGAAATTCATTCAGGGAGTATATTAATAGCTACTGTTAATACTCTATAGTATATTCAATATAGATGTATTAATAATGATAATGTCGTTGCATTAGTTAAGTTTTATTCTACTAAGGTGACCAGACGTCCCGATTTTTCATCCTTTGTTCCGAATTTTTTCGAGTGCTACTCAGGACACCGATTTGTCATCACTTTCAATAATTGTCAATTTTCCAATCTTTTTACCCCCCGCTTCACACATTTATGAAGTGTCCCGAATTCAAGGCTGGGAAATCTGGTCGCCTTACATATACCGCGAGGAGAAACGAGAAGATTACTTACAAATGACGTCTTCACGATACGCCCCGGCGATCGCACATCGCTATTCTCAATACTCCCGAGACTTATTAACGCGCGAGACTCACTTTCGACGGATAAAAAGCGCGAGAAACGCGGAGCGATGTGGATCGATGTGTGCCCATGGCTGCTGCTTGGCGCGAAAAGATCGAGCATTTCGCGCGATTCATTACCAACGCCTAGATTGAATAACCACGATGACAACCTCGTAGTGCGAAACGAACGCGATTGGTTAAGGCGTCCGTCGTACAGATCGCGTCGTTGTAGACGCGCGACCTCGTTCGCATCATTGACGCGTTCACATTCATGCACTTTTGACACTTTCGGCGCGCTAATGAACTTTTGGTGTACGTGATTGACAGCGCGCGCGTCTGCAATCTTTTCATATCTAGCGATTGCCACGGACACAACGCTCCGTATTCCATACGTGTTTCGCTTGTGTCCGGTGAGTCTCCTGCGGAAATAAGGATTAAGGCTACATAGACCGTAACACGCAAAACGCAGTTCGCAATCGCGCACACATTCAACTTTCTGCGTTTTCTCTGCGTTTGCGAACTGCGTTTTGCATGTTGCGGCCTATGTAGACGGGTCTTTAGAGTGCAGAAAACCACGACGTGTAGTCGTCAGGAGATATCGTAAGTATATTATTATGGAGTAATCTCCTCCCTTCTCGACACATACAACTAAGACGTCCCGATTTTTCACCCTTGGTCCCTTTTTTCGAGTGCTGCTCGGGACACAGATTTGTCATCAGTTTCAATGATTGTCAAATAATTTTCGGATCTTTTTATCCCTCTCCTCCCGCTTCACACATTTATGAAGTGTCTCGAATTCAGAACTGGGAAATCTGGTTATCTTATTTCTACATATCGGCCGAAAAGAAACAAAGTAATTCTCGAGGTGCAAAAGAAGTTCAATCCTGCATGCTTTCGCTTTTATAACCTACCACTTCAGATATCTACACAGAGAGAATATTGTAGTGAAAATTACAATGCAACTTTAGTAGTCAGGAAATAGACTGGCACTATTACGAAAAATTATAATAAAACATAGTAAAAATGCAGTAAGAGTTATTATGTTTTACTGTGTTTTATTGTAATTTTCGTAACAGTGCTAGTCTATTCCCGGACTACTAAAATTGTATTGTAAGTTTTACTACAATATTCTTTCCGTGTAATTACAAAGCGCGAGAATACAATTATCCAAAAGATCACGGCATGCAAACTTCTACCAACTCTAAATATTTCTTCTTTTTAAGACGCGGACGCGTCAAGATTGATGAGGAAATTTCTGAGATGAATGAAAAGAATGCAAAAAATCTCAGGAAGCACAATTCGATGAAAAAGTGACCCCACCAATGTGTCCGTGGACTTATTGCTGCTTGTTGTCCCGCTCACTTATCTACCCGCTCGCACGTTTGTCTCACCCCTTCCTCCCCCCCCCC